ATCTATCTATCTATCTATCTATCTATCTATCTATCTATCTATCTATCATCTAATCCATTTATTCTTATTCATTTATTATTAAATTTATTTGCCGCACATCTTACAGTTTGAAGTGACTCTGAGCAGTTTTCAATGTGATAAAATATGCAAATATCCAAACAAGTATAAATATAAAAAACAGGTTAAAATGACAACAAACTCAAACCAACACAAAAGCCCGACTTTGGACTGGAGAAGTGTGGAGGTGCCTTCTGTATTACTGCACCGACAACCTCCAGCCAGCAGCTTCTCCTTCAGGACTCCGAGCCAATTGACATAGTCAGATTTTAAGGCTTTTCCCGAAAGTTAAAAGAGACGAGGGAGGTCTCACTTCCTGTGATGAGTAAATTTGCCATGCATGCCACATGTCCCACCTGTATAATGTACAGTTTTCTTCTACACACTTTTGTGCAGAGCAGAAGAGAATAAATTAACTAATTCTGGAAATGTATTTTTATGAAGCACAGGAGGGATGAAGTGGAATGAAACTTTATTGGGAGGGGGTTCCAGACAATGGAGCAGTGCATCTCTGAGGCCCTCTCCAATGACAATCCAGCAGGGTTGGGACCTGGAGATCGTTGACCCGTTAGTTGTTGACATTGGGACTTGAAAAGTGATAACCAACAGATCTCATCCGGACAACCATTGGCAAACAATGGAGCTCCTGCAGCAGAAAGATTGCTCAAATATATTTGAGCAAATCCATCACTGCCTGAGCCACAGAATTTTTCACCAGCTGCAGCTTCCAGATGTTTTTCAAGGGTAGCTCCATTATAATAATCCAACTGGAAGATGATTAGGGTTTTCAGATTCAGCTATCTTTACTCTTTTTCAAAACAAAAACATTAAGCAGCATATTAATGCTAAAAGAAACCCAAGGCTAAATATAACTCTTTATGAACATTTTGCAGGAACATTGGTTGTTGTTGTTGTTGTTGTTGTTGTTTTTAAACAAAAAACCCCAAAACCACTCTTTGAAAGCTCTGTTCTTGAAAGGGAAGCTGCTAGTATGCAGACTGCTCGTAAGCAGTCAATGATTAATAACTAGCAGGAATATATGTTTAACCTATCGCCCAGCAAGCTATACTTCCAATACAGTGGGATATGGACTTATTTTTCCTTTGTTCTTCATCACACAAGTCAGCTTTTCTCATTTTTTTTCCTTACCTACCCATCTTCTTTTAATTTCAACTTCACCAACTCACCAGACAATGTATGAAATAGGATAAAGGTGATTAATTTGAAAAAAGAAGACCAAGGTTCAAGATACCTTTGGCCATTCAAGTTCACCTGTATGTTTGAGCCAGTCACTCTCGCTGCCTTATCCCAACCAGCCCTACTATACCAGCCTTGATGAGCTGTTATATATGTAGTCTGTAACAGCCCTGCTAAGAATAAAATGAACCAATACAGTCTGCTTGGGTTGACTTCCTTCCTGTTTTCAAAGGATTTCTCACCTAAACATTCCAATCTCTTGGCCATTATCTGCAACCATTTTCAGCAGCGTCATTTCTTTGTCTACATTTGATGAATACCTGGAAAACATAGAGGAAGTGGGGGGAGGGGGAGAAAAGAGAGCCTTTCACAGCAACTAGAACAGAGCTTCTGAATCTTAAAGATTTGTGGATTCAACTCCCAGATTTCCACAGCAGCATGAAGAATTCCACATTCTCAGCATTCAGCATTCTGAGCACTCAAAATTCATTCTCACCATTATCAACATCCTTAGCAACATCAATATTAAAGTTTCTTGGACATTCACATATGTACACACCTTTACCTATATTTGCAGACTCTTAATGTCATGGACGTTTTACTATAGACAGACCTTGTCAAATATGTGCCAAATTCCATTTTTATGTTGATTCTGGTTGTTCGCTTAAAGATTCATGTTGCTTTACCATTATAATTTATAATTTCTATCATGTCATTATTATACCATGGAGGTTCTGTTGCCTATTAACTGCTGAATAACATAAGTTCCAGGTGGTCTAAAACAAATAAATAAATGAATGGCTGAGGAAGGAGTTGAACACTCTTGAACATTCCAGCTTTGCCATCAGCAGATACCTAGTGAACTTCCCTCATCAAGGAAATGGAAGAAGGAGGGGGGGAAAATAATGCCCTCTAAAGATATTTTCCTCTTCTGGGCATTTTGGAATGAGAACAAAACAGTAAATCATTATATTCCAGAAAGGGCTCCTATCCATTACCCATAGGATTATGTTTTTTATCGAGCAAGTTCTAAACAAACAGATATTGCTTAGAGCAGTGTTTTTCAACCATGATAAATTTAAACTGTTTGGCCTTCAGTTGCCAAATTCTCCAATCAATATGTTGGAGAGAATTGTGACAGCTGAAATCCAAAGAGCTTAAAGTTATTAAAGTTGAAAAACACTCCCTTTGAGCAAGTGAATCTTAATCCAGGGTTGCATAGATGTAAATACTATGCCTAGACTCTTAGCTAAATTATAAGATTCACAATACATCCATTACAATTAATAACAATGTCTCGAGATTCTCCTTCATTTACCGGCGTCTTTCAGAAACTGGATTCTGAAGGTAAGAAAGAGGACTTCTGTTGATCTGACTGTTCTCTACCAAACCTGTACCGATAAAAATGTGTCCTTGCACCATGTTCTGATGGGCCATGTCAATACTCTGAAAATGAGAAAATAGGAATTAGAACATGGAAACTGAGACATTTTGATTTGCAGCCAGCTTTTTTGTTAACGAAGGATTAGCACATGTAAACAAATCCTATTATGCCACTAGATAGATCAGGACCAGGTATCATCAGCCTACAATTGAGTATTAACATCACAATCTCATGTGCATTTAACACAAAAGCCGTTAAAGGGCAGCAGGTAACTCCAGAACCACACAACTCTGAGTCATGCCCCAAGAAGCCACAACTGCCCAAGCCCCATTCCAGTTACCCTCACCATCCTACAATCTGCAGCCTTGCACTCCACTGCCCCAGCCGATCATTTTTGCTGTCTTCTTGCTCCCGTTGCTAAGGAGACATGCCTGACCTGGATGCTGGATCATGCGGTGCTTGCTTTATGCATTGCAAAGATTTTTAGAAAGCACAATAGCACTTAGACTTTTTTAAAAAAAATAAATTTTATTAAGTTTTCAAATTTTAAAAACATAAAATAAAACTTTATACATTGTTATCAACATCAAGACATCTTTTGCATCTCTTCACGTTTTTCAGTATATGTATTTACCTATTCCTTTACCATTACATCTTACTCTTACTATAAATCAATATCTTTTATCCTTACATATCAATCTCCTCCATGGTATATTTACATATTTACATATTCCCTCATTCTTTTCCTAATTGCCATTTTATTTTATTTTTATTTCTAAGCCACTTAGACTTATAAGCCACTTCATAACGTTTTACAGCCCTCTCTAAGTGGTTTATAGAATCAGCATATTGCCCCCAACAATCTGGGTCCTCATTTCACCGACCTTGAAAGGATGAGTCAGCCTTGACCTGGTGAGACTCGAACTGTTGAACTGCTGGCAATTGGCAGTCAGCAAATACTGCATTTTAACCACTGCACCAGCATGGCTCGTAAATCAAGTTAAAGGGGCGGTAGGGTGTCAAAATGCCCCCTTTTACCACTTTACTAGGTCATGGGGATGGCTTTGCACTGCAGAGAATAAAAGGGAGCGGAGGAAAGCTACTTTGGGTTTATTTTCTCCTTTTTTTTCACTGTGCAAAGCCAGTCCCATATGGTTCAGGAAGATGAGCAGAAGGGCTCTGGGCCCTTTAAGATGCTTTATGCTTTTTCCCCCTGTTTTTGCAAAACAAAGCCAGCAGCATATAGCCCAACAGCCAGGCTGGGCATACCTTACAGTAACAGGAACAAGAAGATGATGGTAAAAGTTAGCACTGAATGGCAGGGTCCAAAATAATATAGACGCGGAGGAAGATAGACGGATGAGGGAGCTGTAATGACCCTGCAATCATAAGGGCAAGTGAGCTGCCAAGTACCCAGATTTTCATCAAATTTCTCCTACCAGTGCATGCCAACCTTCCTCATTTATCAGCTGGAATAGAGTCTCCAACCCCCAGGCCATGGCCCACTACTGGACTGCAGAATATTTTAAAGCAATCCGTATGAGTGATGGGCAAACACACATGCACGAAGTTCCACTTGTGCAGGTGGAGGGCAGTTGTGCAAGTGGAGCTTTGCACGTGAGCACAAGTGCCTGCCGCTGGTGCGAGTGAAGCTACGTGCACGAGCATGAGCACAAGCCCTCTCTTGCTCATCCACAAAATTCTGTTTGTGAAAGTGAAGGGTGGGTGGGCCTGCAGTTTGAACCAATGGAGCTGTGTACCCATGCATGCATGCAGCTGCCACTCCCACGCCTCCCACACACACACCAGGCTGCCAAGGCGGAAAGGTTGGGGACCACTGAGCTGGAAGATTCAAATCCAGGAAACCCCCACTGGCACTTGCACAACATCTCCCTAACAACTTTAACATTGATTCCCAATGGAAAGCCAAATGAGTCACTGAATGCCCAGACATAGGAAGGCATATATAAATGACCCCACAAAAAAGCAGACACTGTGTGAGGTTTGCAACTTGCAAATCCAATTCAGGATTGCTCTGTATAAATGGGGCATAATATCCTCCCCTCAGTGTGACTCCAGGGTCCCACGTCAAACTGTAGATCACATCCTGACTGGCTCTAAGTTGAGGGCATTTACCGATCCTGTATCTGATTTTTTTTAAAAAAAATATAAACAATACTGCACTTCAATGGGTAAATGGCCTAGACATTGGAATATGAATATAGTTTTTCTAATCTAGGTGAAATGTTAATATATATAAACTAAACTAATTAAACTGACCACAGAGGCATTGCAATGAGTCACAAATCCCTTCATTCAGTGCCCTCATATTTTTGAACAGTCACAGAATGAATGCTCATAAGTCAAGGACTACCTAAAGCTGGAGGAAGAAGCTGTTCTCTTAAAGGATTGTCCAAAGGAGGATGAGAATCTCTTTCAGCCTCAAAAGATACCATTACATGGAAGTTAAAAGGTTAAATTGGATGCTGCCTTACTTTAACGATCCCGTTGACAATGGCATTCAGTGTTGGCTTTATAAGACCTCCAGAAGTTATCATGACTAAGGTGTATTGGAAATAGCCTCCAGCCCCTGAATGAGTATGAGTTCCAGTCATTATGACATTGTTGTGATTGTAGAGATTTCCGTATTTATCTTTTAACTGTTTCATTACCTTAAAAAAGGATGAAAAGAAATATATTTTCTTACATTGTTACATTTTACTTTTAGGAGAGGAATGGGGAGGAGAGGTACTGGCTATTCCCCACCTACCTCTAGCCTTATTCTTTGAGACATCATTCCTATTTCAGCAACCACATGCACTACTCGGTTGCTGTCATTCTGTCGCTCTGCAAGGATGAAAGTTCTGCAATATAGTCGTGAGAGGATGCCACCACTGTTCTGACCAGGTTTACCGTAGCCCATCTACAGTAAAACACAGCATGACATTATTTATCCATTTGTTTAAGATTAAAAACAGCTTTGATGGTTATTGACTTTGAGTGACTAAGTAAAAAATAATAATTAAAACATAGGAATACAAATCCTTACATTCTGTACTCATATTGTTCTGTAAATATAGGAATGATAATTACTCTCTCACATCATGCCATCATCCTGAACCAAGAAACAACAAGCAAATTCATATATGCCCCGATCTTACTGTAAGAGGTAATCTAATCATTTCAACCCCCAAAGGCCTTTTGCAACAGCCAACCTTTCTTAAACTCCCATAGGATTATTGGCAGTTTAAGCTTGGGAGCAATATTGTTGCAAAAAAAGCGGGGAGGGAGAAATGCAGAAGACCTTGCAATCCCTGATGGTAATACCTCTTCAGAGAGGGAAGACAAAGGAAGCAGGCTGGGTATCATTAACCATACACAAAATTCAATCCTCTCTTAAAAGAAGTGTTATAGTCTAAGACTTCAGAAATGCACATGCCTCTTCAAACTTGGCAGGTGGCTTCCAAGATCATTCTGAACATTTCCACCAAGTTATAAATATAATTATATGGGAAAGAAAGGAGAAGTTATCAAATACACAACGGGTATCTTTTAAAAATCACCAGTAATAGGCAAATGTTTCAGTTTAGGTAGGTGGAGTGTGGGCATAATACATTACATTATTAGTTACTCACTGGTACAGGTAGTTCTCAACTTATGAGCACAATTGAGCCCAAAATTTATGTTGCTGAGACATTTTTAAAGTGAGCTTTGCCCCATTTTGTAACCTTTCTTGTCATAGTTGTTAAGTGCATCATTGCATTTGTTAAGTTAGTAATGTGGTTGTTAAGTGAATCTGGTTTGCCACCATTAACTTTGCTTGTCAGAAGATCACAGGAAATTGCAACAGTCATAAATGTGAGTCAGTTGCCAACTCTCTGAATTTTGATCACTTGACCTGGGGATGTTGCAATAGTTGTAAGTGTGAAAAATAGTTATAAGCCACTTTTTTCAGTGATGTTGTAACTTTGAACTGCCACTAAATGAACTGTTGTAAGTCAAGGACTACCTGTATAGATTTCCTGAGAGAATTTTGAGAAGAAATATACAGTAGTTGTAGAAAAAAGTTGGAATGTTACAGCATGTGGGAATGACCTTTGGAATGTTAGCAGCAGAAAATTGTTCTGTTCTTTGCCTGCACTACCTTGATGGGCTAATAATGAAAGAAGAAGAATGGGAAGATGTAGAATCCAGAGAATAAAATGGTCCTGATTGGGAGATTTAACTTGCTGAGATATTGGAAGAAGGCGGTTCAGAGGAATGGGAATATTATAAGATGGGAAGGGAAAGAGTTTGATGTTTGGTTTCTGGGTGTTAGACATGCACCAAAGGAGAAACCTTCTTTCCCACTGAAAACTATTAGAAGGCATGGGTCCCTGTTACTCCAAAGTTGGATGAGAGCTTGATAGAAGGTGATCAAGTGGAAGACTCTGAACATGGTAGGCAAAAGTTTGTGTGGGACATTAAATAGTTGGGATAAATAGGCTGTGAGCTATTGAGGCCAGGCAAATACTCACAAGAGGTACTTCAGCTATAGGACCAGTACAATCTGCCCGACCAACACCGATTAAGTAGCCCTCAGAACCTTTAGACAATTCAGAATTAGCATCTGAAAAAATATACATAGAAAAATTAGGCATTCCTTTCAACACAGAAGCAGGGTTGTACAGAATGTGAAATTTAAAAGCATATCTAAGTTCTTAAAGCTAGGTTGACGCATTGAAAGAACACTGCTTGAGGATTCCAAAATTAAGGCCAATGAAATGAAACACAGCATAGGACCTTCAAGGGTGCGAAGTGTGTTTCCTCAGTTGGAAGATTTCAGTCATGGTGACTGCAATAAGCCATTTTGTGAGGAACAGTATTTCAATTCTTTTATATATATTTTATTTATATATTAAAATTTCTTTTTTTGAGAATAGCATTATTACTATTATCACTTCTCCATACAGACACAAATTCAATGTCATATTCATCCTTGTGTTCTATTCCATATCTTATTACTATTTTAACATTTTCTCAATAATTTTTCCTTTCCCTTAGTTTTCTCAATCTTACTTTTAATTATCTCATTCCTTTCTAAATTCATATATATATATATATATATATATATATATATATATATATATATAT